TAAGCGCATAGATCAATTGATGTGATGTTGTTTTAACTTAATAAGTGATCTCAAGTTCAAATCTTACATATGAAACTACATTAAATACTCAAAAAGAGAGTTTTGTCGCCCATATTAATCCTACCTGACTCGAGTAAGATTATCTCTAATGGGTTAAATGACGGGTTGAGTTAGAATGGCTTGTCAAGTTGACTCGTTGGGTTAGCTTATTAAGTCGACTTTTTTTTTCTTATTTTTTTTATTAACATTAATTTGTTGTATTTTGTTTTTTGTTTATTTTTTTATTAAGAATTAATTGTGATTGTATTTTGTACTTTTTTATTGTTAATGAACTTATTTGTAGTTGTATTATAAAATTATTTTAATGTTGATGATGAATTTATTGTGTACACGTCCCATTGAACATTTGAATTGTTTGATCAATCAGTAGTTTTACAATAGCTTTTCTTTTTTTTTTATTATATTTGATCATAAAATTTGAAGAAAATTTAAGAAAAAAAATAAAAATAATTTATAATTTTTAATAAGTTGATAGGTCATGGGTTGGGACATTGGGTTAAGATTTTCAACACAATGAAAATTTCTATCCAATCTAACCCATTTTTTTAGCAAATTAAGGGCACATTGAGTTAGCCTATTTGACACCGCTACTAATGGAGGATACTTGTGATTTTGATTACATACATGTATACATACATACATGTGTGTGTATGTGCATATAAAATAGGGGTGAGTCAAGTGAGAACACTTGCTAATATGAAAACATGAGAACTATGATATCTTTTACTCCACATACTTGCATAATCTAAAGAAGATAGGAAAAAGAGTTTGAAAATAAACTTTATAGAATAAACAAGGTTCGCAAATACCCTCGGATAGAGGTATTACATAGTATGTACAAAATCATTGGTACTAAATACATGACAAATAAGTCAATACAACTGATAAAAGAACTAACATAAATCCTAATATAAAATAAACTAATAGAAAACATGAAATCTTAATTACAATCATGATGTCACATCCTATCAAAGCACAATATCAAGCCAAGGCCTAAGCCTTATCTTCAGCCTCGTCATCAAGATGATGATCCTCACTTACAAAACATACACCAAAACACCAAACAAAAGAAAAAGGGGGTGAGAAACATCTCACTCTGACTATTGGGATAGGATATAATCAGATAGCCAAACACAACAACACATGGCATTTACAACTTATATAAGCATAATATAAATAATCACAGAATCAAAGAATATTTCAACACATAAATTGCTCATGAATGCAAACAATGCAATTGACACGAACTTGTTATACCATATGCATGTGATGCTAGTAAAACATTTCAACTCTGTACAATTTTCTAAAGGCACACATAGAGTAGCCTAGGAAAACATGTTGGGTCAAGCCATAAAAACACTCTACATTAGGAGGAGATACACTAGGGTGAGTTTAGACAATTGTGTGACGCAAGTTTCACCACATGCATATAAACAGGTGAAACTAAGGCTCCCAAATTCAATTGTCCCCAAGGTCATGAATTCCCTAAGTATTCACAAGGGGGACCTTTCCTAGCAGCTTATTCTATATCTTATCCATCACAAAAAAAAATTATGCTTATGATACATGTCATACAAGACCCGGTGCATTTTTCATTTTATTACATTATCACAATATCACAAGTACACATTACACGCATTACTCGCATTATTGTTAGGCTAACATCTCCAAACTTTATCTTTGTTAAACCTCAGTTTAGACTTCACGATGCATTATCATCACATGATCCACACACAAATACAACACGTTATAGCACACAAGAGTAACATATTGGCAATTCAAACACAACAACATCCACAACATCATTTGCAAACACCTCAAATAAAGTAATTATAAAATCATCTAATTATATGTTAATAACTCAACCATAGTCACTATGAGATCAACATCAAACTAAACATCTAAACTAATAATTTAACTAGTCTCACAATGTTATTAATATTATACATTAATTTCTTAGGCATTATTATCAGTAAAACACCTCAAGTCGTTAATAATCAACTCACATCAAAACTTATTCACAATTGTTGTCTCCCATAATTTTCCTTTCTTAAACATTGACACAAGTACCTCAAACCACTCCTAAAATTAAACACTTAAAGGGTAACACAATTCATCATCATCACTCCCAAACAATATTTCAATAACTTAATCTTATGTGATCTTTCGTTATCTGAACATGATATCTAGAGCTATATACATGTTATCAAGTTGATCTTAATTTTGTTAGAAAGTTAAGACAACTATCTACAACTTCTATGTTGACCTCAAAAATTTACTTTCTCATCTACTATTTTTTAAAAATACAAAATTGCAACATTTCAACCTAAATTTGATAACTTGACCTCTATTCACTAATTTGATCATAACATGAGTTCTAAACTACTTTCTTGGGTGGTTCCAATGGCATTGAAAAGTTAATATTCAGGGATACAATTCTTATGAAGATTACAAAATCTAACATTATCACACTCAGCATGGCGTTTCTCGTGCCTAGTGTAAAGGGGATAAAACCCTCTCTATAGCACTCGCACTCAGCGTGGCTGAGGTTACACCCTATGAGAAACTTACTTAGAAATAGCATCAAATGGTGCTTGGGGAGGCCCATTTGACACACGACGCCAAAGGAATAGAGAACACTATGAATTATCACGTTCAATGCCATAAATTTATGCCTGACGCGATAGTAGTTCGTGAAAATCTAGTAGGGTGTATGAAAATCACACAAGTCAAACCTCAAAACCCAAAATCTCTATCCAATCAATAAAAATATAGATTAATGACTAAAACTACTCTACTATACCACAAATTACTCAAGTTTAACATCAATTTCACTTTTTATGCAATTAACATCAATATTCACTTTGCTTTATAAATCAAGGTTTCTTACGAGAACTACAAACACTCACAGATTCACACATGCTTCAATTCACACAAAATTGATTACACATATATCTCAATCATCACAAATAATGCACCTAAAAAGAGTATATGGAATATAAATTCAAACTTTACACAATAGAATTGGGATTTCTCCCTCACCACATACAAGAACAAAAAATATATTGGAAGCAATCTCACTACCTAGCATCCCACCTATACCTCGTAGCGAAACTACTCACTCCCCCTACCATGATGAGCACTCGTAGATGAACGCAAGTCTTCAAAGTGACCGTCTTTCTGAGCCCCTAACATTTCTTCAAATGAAAAAAATAAGAAACCATAAGCATGAAAATAAGAAGCGTAAATGTCTATGCTTAAAAAACCCTTTTATAATAAAATAATTCTTTCCTTTATTTCTTTTAAAAACAAAAACATAATTAAGTAAAATCTTAGTATAAAACACATATTTTCCCAAATACACTTAATTAAAACATATTTTCCTCAAATACTTACTATAACAAAATATTCACAAACCTTTCTTTATTAATTAAAAACACTCATAATTATTACAAGTCTCTATAATATTTTATAAGAACCCTTTAATTAATTACAACATGTTTAATTATTTTAGAAAGTTTAGGGTGTTATAAGAACAATTAATAACAATTCTTATATTAAAATAATACAAATAAAGTTACTACATACTATCATCATTGTGATTGTTTCTGTCATTGTTACTATCATCATTACCATTGCATTTTCCACCTCTACTACCATATCGTTGCCATTATCACATTACCACCGTCTCCACAACCACTTTCACCATTGTTGTTAACAATGGTGACAACGATGACAATGGTATTAACGACAGTAGTAACAACTATAGTGACAACAATGATAATGATGATACTGATGACAATTATGATGGTAGTGTAGAGATGATGACAATGGAGTGGTGATGCAACTCACACATGCACACACCCTTAAGGTCAAAAGAAATAATTTTTTTATTAATAACCCAAACATTATACTTCTCTTTAATTTTTATTTGATGATGGTATTATTGAGATAACTTATAAAATCAATATGGATTAGATATAAGATCAATATAGTCCTTATAGAACTTAGATAGTTCTTGTGTTACACATTTTTTTAAGATTGAGTTATGTTATAAATCTAAATTTTAAGATAATATTAGAATATATATAGATTCGTTACTGGACCATCAATATTTATCAATGTTCTGTATCTTTATTTCTTAGTGTAGGCTACTCACATTATCCACACTCCAAATGTTATCATACGCATGAAAACATGTTGATACATAAACTAAAAATATGATCAATAAAATCCTTACAAGACTTGAACAATACCCCTTATAAACAAACTTTGTGAGATTGAGTAAGCCTTAAAACCTTAATTCTAAGAAATGCTAACAATACTATCATTCCTTATTTTATTTTTGAATAAATTCCACTAAATTACTTAAAAGTTGTTGTTCATTATTAAAACTAATATTGAAAAACTCATCTGAAAAATCAACTCAATTATGTATTTGTTAAACTCATACTTATCATGTAAAAGCTGTGTAAATTATTTCTAAACTAAAAAATATTAAATTATTTCTATATAAACTATTAACTATTTTCATGCACTACCCTCGATGACATCTCATGAAGATATCATTTCTCAAAAGCTCTTTTATTTGCACAAATACATATCATAAAACATACTCAGATTAATTATAGATAAATTCTTCCGGACACAACCTCAATTTTTTGATGGAGAATAATTCAGATGAGCTAAATCTCAAACTTCACAAAATAAAAAAGGCTCAAGGTTCAAAAAGCACTTGCTTCCCTCCTTAGCCATTGAAACAATCTTTGCCGGTAAACAGCTTCAATTTGATAAACAAATGAAAAAATTATTTAAAAGGAGATGTGTGACTAGTATTTCACATTAATCATTTCCATTTCCATCTCGCATTCAAACCATTCTTGAGCTATTCTATAATTTCAGTTTAAAACCCATAGATCAATCATATCATAAACCAAACGAGCAAAATAATGAGCAATGTATAAAAAAATTTCATAAATGTAAAACAAGCCTTATCAACTACAGTTTAGAAATGTTGCTTTATCCACACCAATCATCTCATGTGTCACTTTAATCAGAGATCATTGGCTTCTACAAATACACAAAAAATGATAATATAAAATTTGGCTAAGTCTTAAGAAGATGGGGGGCCATTTAGTAAGCAGCAAAGCACTAGAGACTTCAGCTACAATTAAGCAGAATTTCCTGATTAATTGTGTCACTTTCCTTGACCTCAATGTTTATCTTCTAAGAATATTTTGAGACTAGTCTCGTGTTGCCAAGCCCGTTGTCTTACAAATGGGACACAAATTCTTATGCATTAGCCACTGTTTAATACATTCGGTATGGTAATCATGCCCACAATCCAGTGATCCTATGCCATCTCCATCCTTATACTCCTCCTGTACAACATGAATTATTAGACCAATGTGCACATGCTTATAAAGGTTAAAGAAATCATAAGTCAAGTTATAAGACCAATGTGCTATGAAGCATGGACACATCTAGAGAATGCGGTGTCCGTGTGTTCAACACCTTTCGGACATGATACTTGTCAGACATGTCTCGACACACATCCAACATATATCCACTGTGTCACAATTATTATTTTGTTTGAACACCTCTTCGACACAACTTGAACACCTTTCCACATGATGTGGACTCTTAACTTAAACACTAATCTAACACTTCTATTATAAAAAACATTAAAAAGTCAATTTATTAATAAATATTACAAAACTCAGCATTTTTTATCTTTTGTGAGGCTCATTTCATAAAAATTACTCGTTACTTTTAAGAGATAGCTCGTTATCGTATAAAAATTGTAAAGCTGCCGTGTCTTTGTGTCCTATATTTTGGACATTAGTCATGTCCCACAGTCTGTGTTGTGTTCAATGTCCGTGCCACAATCAGTGCTTCATAACCAATGTGCATATGCACGCAGAAGTTACAAGATTAATGTTAAAATGTTAATGTGTACATGAATATTGAGAGCACGAAGAATCAGCTTGCTAAGTTTACCTGACAAACACAGCAGGGTTCTGCCTCATGCTGAGAACCTGGTTCAGCTGAATACTTCTTCTTTTTCAGATGTTTCAATATGGTTTCCTCACTCAATCCAGTGCTCACATTTCCAATGCGTTCTTCCAGAGCCAATAACTCCTATTACATTCGTAAATGTTACATAATAAGCCACTCTCATAAGATGAAGCATCAACCTCTTACATGTGTTAACATATGCACACAAATATGGAAATAAGATTTTACCTCATAAGACATGTTGTCAACATCAAGACGCATATCCCTGTGTCGATCATGAATATCGGCAATTCCAGAGAACATTGAATGGTCGAGGATCATAACATCCTGTCATAAAATCAAACAGCATGTCTTACAACACTACCTTAGTACAAATATATCAATTCAAATAGCTCACACACAACCTAAATGTGATAAACAGATAGCAATTCATGTCACTTTCAAGCTGGTTGATATTAGTTGCAGGTCCAATTTCTCCAAATCAAAACAAATTCCATAGAAATTCACAACTTTCAAGTCCACCCTAAGCAATCATCAGGGGATCTATAACAACAAACTTAGTAAACATTATAGAATTCATACTCATGTCCAGACCCCAAAGATTCTTGCAAAGAAAAAAAATGCTATAGATCTGTCATTATCTTTCTCAAGACAACGCCCCAGCCGGGCTCCATTGCCTTTTATTTTGTACCAAAATAACATTTAGCGGTCAAAGAAATGGGGAAGGAGTAGAGGGGAGGGTGGTAAATACCGATATCCATGACTTACAACTATGCAGTAGCGATTTAAGAAATGGTCCAGAGGGTTTTCTTATTATCAACCTACACATTAGTTGATCCTAATATTTCTTGGATTCCAAGCAATATTCTAACATAAGCACACAAATTTTGATATATAGAAAAGTCATTTTCATTTGAATGAAAGAACAGTGCATACAATTTTTTTAAGCTTTGACCCTTTTTTTGGACCCCTCAAGCACTTGATAGATACCTGGATTCAATTCTGTTTGTATCTTAATAATATTATTAGATAAATTTGACATCTTTTCATTCTTCTAAGGAGGTGGGATATATTACTGTCTGACATACTAAGATAACAAAACTATTACATTATATGCTACCTCATGCATCTTTCAACATTTTCCCTCAATGAATCCCTCAGATTCTTATTATGACTTGTTTCCTAATGTTCAACAGATATGAACAGAAAATTCCATTTGAGAACACCGAGTAAGTCTGATCAGAAATGCAAATAAACCAACTTTAGTGGTAGGTACAAGTACAACTTAATTCAACACTTATAGCTAAACAACAAAACAGGACAATTAAACATATATTTTTGCATCAGAATTGAACCAGTTTGAAGACACTGCAGCACTATTAGTGAATGAGCAAAAAAAGGATCCAGAAAGCTTTACTCAACATCGTGCATTGTCAACATACACCATTAACCTGAAATAAAACTAACCTCAAATCGCAGGTTCCCACCCCTTCGCATGATGCCCAGCACATTGCGGAGCTGCACAAAAGCAAATGTCAAGTCCAAGAGAACAATTATTTGCAAAAGGAAAAAAATATATTGCAACTATCAAAAGTGTTACAGCAACAGCCAGGAAATTGTCTTGAGAAGGTATCAAGAAGATATTGGCTTAGATTCAAAATAAAAGTAAAAGTATTTTATTTTTTTAGCCAAAGAGGCAGGCAACTCAAGAAATTCAATCAAACCTGGTGTGATGATTGAGAAACCATAGGAGTAAAGTCTAATCATATTTGCTCCTAGACTTCAGATTATGCCAACTATAATTCATTATCAATAGTTATAAAACCCTACCTCATCCAGCCTGGAGTTTTTCTTAAATAAACTCTAAGGCCTGAGCCTAAGATCAAATATTTAATTTCAAAATCAATAAAAAGAAAGCAATTTTTCAAAGAAAAGAAGGACTGATATAACAGATGCCTCCATACATCTAAGACAGATATTAAGGGAAAAATATTCTCCATCAGTTACAATTATAATAATGAAACAAAAGAGAAGAAAGAGCTGAATACAGACCTCAGATACAAGTCTACTACTTCCTTCACCAACAACAGCTAAAGATCGTAAAGAATATGGAATTCCAAATTCACTATCACCTGGCCTCTCAAATGGGTTTACCCCAGATGACAGTCCCCTTGATTCAGATGAAGCAGATGGACCACGTAAGGAAGGGTAATTATTGCTTGAACTTCCAGCAGCTTCCAAACCAGGAGAAAATAAGGTCCGACGAACATAATCAGATAACCTGCGTGGATACTGCTGAGGATTAGGGCGAGAAACCCAAGGTGAGGCTGATGGTGGATTGACAGCTGAATTTGGGCCAATCCGCGATGAAGAACCAGCATTTCCAGGTATACTTAAACTTGCACTATTTGCAGTTCTAGCTGGATTGCGAACCACATTTCTTAAATTGGTTGCAGGCACAAACATTGGGTATTCTATAATGTTTCTAGGCATACTTCTTGAGCTTGCTTCCTCGTTTGGTAGACTATTTCTATCGGCGCATATAACTGGGTTTGATGAATGGTTGTTTGCTGAGCTGGAACCACCACTCCACCTGAATGACTGCACATTCCTTGGTAAAGCAGGAACGTGAATAACAAGGGGCTGACTTTGAGGAACCATAGTATCAACAGGTGGTACAGGCCTCAAGTCCAAAGAATTATCGATAGGATGAAATCGTTGCAATATTGGAGAGGATGAAGAAACACCAGAGTTCCTAATAACATTCCCACCTGAGATTGCAGTGGGAGGAACGGAAATTTGTTGACTTGAAGGATTTATCCTCACACGAAAATTTCTATGGAAGTTTTCTGAGCTTCCTGCAACATTTGACTCAGGAATGCTTTCCGAGGCTCCATTCCCCGTACTCAGGCCAAGTCTTGCATTTACCTGTTCTGTTGGGACAGATCTGTTAAAACTGCTCCCCCCATAATCCTGAGTAGGAAGAGTGTTCCATGTACTACCATCTGTATGCTGACTATAGCTAGAACTTCCACCGTCAGAAGACTGTCCAACATTGCGTTCAACAGCCTTTCTTTTGCAAGATACACGACGGGTGTCTACAGAACAACCTGGCCTACCATCAGTATCCTCAACTAAAAAACCATTAGTTCCAGAAGGAAGCAGAAAAGGACCAGAACCAATTGTAGGTTGCATATGCTCATTTACCGGTCCACTAGACTTGTTCAAGTTGGGAGGATGCTCCACATGATAGCTATTATCGTTGCCAATATCTGCTAAACTTGCATTTAAGTTCAGATTCTGAGGCACCAAGTGAGAATTGGAGCTGCGCATATACATAGGACTTGTATTGACATTGTCCAATGAAAAAGTACTGTTTGGTTCAAAGGGCCTTTCTTCAAGTCTTGGACCAGCTATAGCACCAGAACTTATTGAAGATGATAATCCTAGCTCTCTTTTCTGCTCATTGTTGTTAACTTCATTCTGTGTATTACTGGAACTTGGCTCACCTATGCTCCATCCACTCAAGTTCTGCCATTCATGGTTTATAGAGTTCACATAGGGTGGGTTTATATCACCAGGAGAAAGTACATATTGATTTTCTGCAGGATTCCGCATATTATTCCAGAAAATATGCTGATCAACTGTAGCAGTACTCGATGCAGATCCACAATCAAATTCTAAGGTTTCTGGCAGGGAACCAATTGTACCTCTCTGCCCTTGCATTGAAGATATCTATAAGTTTCCAAACTCAAAAAGGCTAAATATACGAAAGGAATTCCTCTATAAAGCAGCAAGGCACACTCACCTGTCCAATAAACAAGAAATTGAACATTAGGCACTGAAAATGAACATGTGATATTCACTATCAGTAAAATGCTGAAAGTCAAATTAAATGGTAATCACTGCACAAACACAGTTAGGAAAAAATATTTCAAGATGCATTATGTCACACAAACTCTGAACTCCCAAAAGAAACAGTTATCCTAATTTTGAAAGTTCACATTTCCTCTATTATGCCCACCACAGTCACAATTGCATATCTATTTGTAGCCCTTGAGTTGTGGTAGCAGCAGGACTTGAGCTCTATATCAGTTCTCTTCATACACTACCGCTGAAAGCATGTCTGATGATTATGATATGAAAGCAACAAGAAGTAGCTAAGATCAATTAGGCGATAGCATACAAGCTTTTCATCAATGTCAAGACACATTAGACACTATTCGTTAAAAGCTGAAACCATAGTGGGGGAAGGTTGACATAACCTATAGGCAGAGGACTCATCCACATAATATGCAGTCATTTGTATATGTTTCAGAAATTTGTAAAACTTCAACAGCAATACTCAACAATAACAAAGTAGCTCGTGTGTTGAACAGTTGTCCACACAAATTTTAAGTCAGGACACAAACCAATAAAATGAATCACTTATATCATTTACATCAATAAAACCAATGTAAAACTACGCTTAGGATAGAGAACAAGGAAAGCATTTTCAAACACCGCAAACAACAACCATCGCAACTCAAACCCCTCTTTCACAAACTGAGGAACCCTACAGTACAAAACCCAATAATGCAGCATTACCAATTGATTAACACCAAAGAAAATCACCCACGCAACAGAGAAAGAAGACAATACCCCTAAAGAATAACAATAAAGTCAACTCCTTTATACAAAACAATCAACATAAAAGAAAAAATAAAAACAAAAAACTGAAAATTTTTGCCAAGATCAGCAAAACTCTTGCAACGTTTCAAAACCATTCAAACCCAGGCTGGATTAAACAATTCAACACCCAAGAAAAATCAGCATAGTTCATCAGGGTGAAAAAATAAAGCATGTAAATACACACAGCCCAAAATGATTTGAAAAAAAGGTGAATACTCCAATCAAACCCCCAAAAAATTAAGATAAATGACAAAAACCAAGAAAAAATTCAAACTTTATAGGTTTTGAATCCTGGCAAACCACAAACTGATCAGACCAAAGGAGATTGAAGAAAAGGGTGCAGGAAACTTACGGGAAGAAAATGAAACAACGCCGATCTATGAAAAAGAAAAATCAAAGGATGACTAACTGAGAGAATAAGCAAAGAAAGCACCCCACCGCATGTTTTGTTGTGGATGCTTTTCCTTTTTTTTTTTGGATTTGTTTATTGTTCCCCTTTCCACACTTGGAGAGGAAAAAACAAAGATATAGAGGAACAACAAGTGAGAAATGGAAAGGGGAAGAGAAGAAAAAAGAGAAAAGAAGAGAACAAACGGTGTTGCTCTTGGTGGAGGATGAAGAATGATATCAAAAAATGAGATAGGAAAAAAATGAAAAATTGTGAGGAGAGATTAAAGAGGAGCAGTAATCTTCATTTTTGGAAAGAAAAAAAAAATAAATTAAATTAAAACAACCCAATAGAAGAGAGAGAGAGAGAGTATGTGTGCAAAAGTCATACCTTGGAGGTGGAGACAGCAGCTTCCCTTCCAAAATGATAAATTTACAACATTATTTATTTACATTTTACACACAAAATAACATTATTTTAATGGGGTGATTAAGTAAATTATTAATGATGGTAATTGGTGATTATATTATTTTATTTACTAGGTAATTGGTAATGTGACCAAAGGCTGAAAGGGTGTGCCTGTTTGTCCCTGTTTGGCAGCTTACCAAATGGGTGATGTTTGCATGGGTCCTTCTTTCTTCTGATTTTTCTCCTTGAAATTAAGAACTGCATCATCTCCCTCTGCCTTCTGTCTCAAAACAACAAAATAACATAATGCTAATAAATGACCAGTGTTGCCAACACAGCCCCCACTTGCCCAGAATTTTTTTAATGTACTCTAATAGTAACTTTTATTTTTAACTATATTATTTGGTAAAGGGTATCTCCCAATTTCTTTGATTACTAATTTTCATAAAATAAAAAAAAAAATAGGCTTGATATTTTTAATTGAGTCTCTCCTTTCAATTATTTTTTTTAAGTTCACTTTAATGGTAATTAGCATCAGTTTAGGTAATTTTTTCTCCAATTATATTTAATTTTATTATTATTCCATTATTTTTAATTCAACAGCTTTAATTATGTTTATTTATGTTTTACATTTTCATTAAAGTGGTATATAAAATAATACTCTTGGTTGTGGTTACATTACATATCCTTCACGCCAAGCACCCACCTCACCTCTCTATGACTATTTCTCTTTTACCATCCCATTCACATTTATACTCTCACATGCTCCTCCTTCTTTTTCTGTTTTTATCTTTTTCTCCCATTGTGGCTTAGGATTCACTTGGGTTTATAAATAAATAATAGTGCACGTGGCTTTAGTTATAATATCTAGGGCCCACACCGGATGACTTTGCATTTTCCCCTCTTTCTCTAATTGTTGTGCCCAAAATCTTGGTGCTTGCTTGGATGAATTTTGACTAACTATTTATAGACTCATCTTTTTTGTTTTGTCTTTCTCCCAACATATGATAATGATATACCTCTCGTTTTGGTTGGGTGAAGAATTTACGTGGGATGAATAGTAAATAAAAATGACCAAATGTGAAACATCCTAGGGTCACTAAATTTTGTGTCGGTACAATTTTAGGTGGAACTTAACCAAAGCGTTAATGTGTGCCTGGTTGTGATGATGGGGGCTGTAGCTTTTGGGTGTTTGGGGATACAACACAACACAACCAATTTATCTATCAATTTTACTTTGCTTTAAAGAGGTGTGAAGACATGGACCTAAAAGCCCCTATGCTACCTTTGCAATGCCAGGTTCCACCACCACAACACAACACAACCTCTTTCCTTTCTCTTTAATTTATTTTGTTTGTTCTTCCATCAACTATATGTCGGATTCTGATTTCTTTTTTATACTTAAAAGTTTAGGAAAGTTATTTTTATGAAACTTATTAGGATTAGGACATATTTTAGAGTTTAGAATTTGCCTTTAGATATACTGTCTTTGCTATCTATTATAAGAAGAAAATAAATATTTCATACATATAAATATAAAAGAAAATTAGCTAATTGAATTAAATTTTATAATTTTCATTATTCTTCTTAAATTATCTTTGTTAAAAATGTTTTAAAAATAGTACAATTAGAATGTTATGCATTAAATAAAATATATTTGAGGGAGAATATTATTAAATGAAGAAAAAATAATTAAAATTAGATTATATTTAAAAACAAAAAAAGTTTTTTTTGTTACTTGTAGAGAACAGAGAGAGTATTTATATATTGCTCATCACCAACAAGTCATTGACATAAATGAAATTGGACTTGGTCAAATTAAATAAAGTCTTGAATTTAAATAATATAAATAAATAATAATAATTGAAATAATAAAAAAATCTCACTAAATAGTCTAAGGTTGGAACTGAACGGATTAAGACGTAGATAAGGGCATCGCCTCCTCCGCATAAGAATTTCATCAATTTCTTAATAAATACAAAATGTTAAAATACCTTTTTTAATATCTATAGTTTTACTTTATTTTTTTAAGCAAATCTATAGTTTTACTTAAAAATATATTGTTTAGTCTTTATATTTATTTTTTATATTTTTTAATCTTTATAGTTTAAAATAAAATTTTCTAATTTGTATGCTTGTAATTTGTTATAACTATCGCTAATTTTTTTATACTCTCACTTGAAACATTCATTATTGAGACATATTTTTTATTTTCACAAAATTAAAGATCTTTATTATTCAACATAAAAAAAATAATTTTATAAAAAATTAACAAAGAACTAAAAGAATTAAAAAAAATTACAAGTATAAATACTAAAAAGATTTATCTCAAATTATAAGGATTAAAAAGATTGAAAAAAAATAAGTATGATAGGTGAAAAAAAATAATTTAACCAACATAAAATATATCTCAGTATAAAGTTGTTTTAAAAATATATTTAAAAGTAAAAAATGAAAAAATTCGATCAACATAATAATAATAATAAGTTTCAATAGATTTTTGTTACTCATAAACTTTAATCAATGTATTAAAAATAATGTACTTAAATGTTATATATCAATGAGTATTTTACATATTAATAAATTACAGTTACATATTATTTATCAGCAAAATTTATACATAAACACGTAAAAAAAATAAATTGGACTCATCGATACAAGATATCTTAGATATGAGTTAGGATGTTTTTTACCACTACGATTTACTTTTTAAAATAAATTATGTAAATGAGATTATTTTTTAAATTATTTATGTCTGTGATTTTTTTATGTGTCATTATAAATTATAATAACACTTATAATATGTGAAAAAAATTAATTTTATATTTTCCTATAAATATTATATAATGGACCGCATGACTCTTATAAGTTAATAGTGACACTACTAAAATTTTTATTGGTTATAACAATTTGTAAAATGACATCAATTGAGAGCTATTTATTTTTTTAAGTTGATATAAATCATAATGACTTCATTTTTTTTTTGTTGTTATGCCCATAACGTCATTCTTTCTCTAAAAGAAATAATTTATTATGAGTAATTTATTTTAAAAAAATTGTTATATTTTTTTTTCATTTAGTTAAGTTTACTTTTTTAAAATGTGTAATATTTAAAAAAATGAAAGTGATTTATTTTTAAAAATTGGTATATTTATTAAACAAAATATTACATATTTCTTCAATTGTTTAAAATAAATTATTTTTATTTAATAATTTTTATTTAAAAAAAACAAACTCAAAAATAAAATAATAAAAAGGGAGGTCACTATAACCACCGGCTACTCCCAAAAATATTATAAAAAAAACACACAATAACCCAAAATAATAAATAAAAAAATCAGTACAATCTATAGCAACTTAAAAAAAAATAAACGGAACACTATAATTTATAATGGCTAAAAAAATTGTTTTTTTTTATAAATAACGACATTATTTTATCATTATTGATTCTAACAATAATTTCAACATGACATATTATATAATTTAAAAAATCCAATAAAAAACATATATGACCAATGTTACTATAAATCATAAAGACATCTAAAAATATAATATATTTGAAAACAATTTCATTCTAATAAATAGTGGGTAAAAGTATCCATCCTATGAGGAAGATTGTTATGAACTATATTAACATTTTATTGGGAGATTCTGATCTTGAAACGGTGTAGGACATTGCTCCTATCGTGGGGCATTTTATTGTTTTGTGAATTTGGTCATCTTTGTGTTCTACCTCTTTCTCCTTCTCTAACTCTTCTAAACGGGGTTAACTTTGCTTTCCATCTGTCTCCACCACTACGTTATTTTTTATTATATAGTTTTGGCCATTAAATCGACTTCTTGTCTATCCATTTGGATGAACCAACTGAACCATTAATTGAGTATAATAGAATATGGATCTCCATATAACCGAATATCTAAAGTTTTCCATGATTCTGACATTTCTGGAACCTTACGCGGTTTATTATTATTATTATTGTATTATACAACTCATGACTATAAAATATCACAAATTATCATATCTATGTATACTAATTGCTTTTACCATAACTATTTAAATATTGTTGATTCTGTACATGTTTTACGTAATTGCTGCATATGTTTTCTTCTGAATAATTTAATTGTATGATGACTCGTAGCAGAAAACAAGATTTCACCAACATCCTCCTCTAAGGTCAGGAGAAAAAAACAGAAAGAACTCTATACACAAAGTAAAATACCTTTTTTATATCTTTTTATATTCATAAAAAAATTGAATTTAGAACTAAGTTACAATAACTCGCATATTAGTTGACTAACAGAGCTAAACTCATTGTTGAGAGATATATTAGTTATTGTACACATGAGTTAACTAAAAGGAAAAAAAAAAATTCATGTCCAAAATATCAACTGATTATAATAATAAAAAAATGCTTAATTTTAATAAATAGTTTATATGAATATTTTTTATTATCAAATTATTGAAAATTAATAATTTTACTATACATATTAATTGATAATTAAATATATTATTAATGCATTCTTATTAAGTAATGAGTGTCATGGGATTAAAATATTAACTATCGATTTTTATATATTAAACAAAAAAATTTATTTTTGTGTAAGAGTATTTTTAAGTACTTTTGTTCGATAAAAAGATTTTTAAAAAGATTTTTAACTTGTCATCTAATTCAGTTTTTATTTATAATAATTATTTATGAATTAAATTTTAGTAGTTTCAAAATAAATTATCAGTAAATAAAAATATTATAATATAAATTATTTATCATAAATTTAAAATATAATTTATATGTTTAAAAAATCTATTTATATAAATTTTAAATATAATTTATATATTTAAACATAATATATATATATATATATATATTAATTACAT